AAATAATTATAAATAACAAAATATATCAAATTAAAATTAAAAAAATAATTATTTATAAATTCTATATATTATATAAATTATAAATATAAAGTTAAAAAAATTATATTTAAAATTATAACCTTAAAAAAATTATAATTATAAAATTAATAAAAATATAACTATTTTTAATGTTAAATAAATTATATATATTATACAAATTATATATATATATATATATATATATATTACATATATGACCTTCAAATTAAATTTATATATATATATATATATATATATATATTACATAAATTAAAATAAAAATTATCAACTTAAAAATAAATTATATTTAATATATATATATATATATATATATATATTTATTCCAAAAGTATAACTTATTTTCATTTCTATAATATAAAACATATATATATCTTTCAAAATATTACAAAACACATAAAAAAAATACATTTCAAAAATATAATTTTACATCAAAATATTATTTCATCTTTATATATATATATATATATATATATATATATATATATATATATATATATATTTTAAGATTTTTATTATGCTCCTAATTTATTATTCATTTCCTAAAAAAATAATACAATATCAAATAAATCAAAGAATTAAAAAAAATTAACCATACAAATAAAATATAAATATAATATTTAATAATATATTTTAAAAGTATTATTTTAATGCTTTCAACAATAAATCTAAATATATTATTAATTTAAGAAATATATAAATCTTTTTAAAATTATAATTTAATTCTATAAATTTTAAATAAAACATTATAATATATATATATATATATATATATATAAAGTTAGTTTTTCTTTTTTAACAAAATAAATAAAAATTAAAAAAAACTAATTCAGAATTTGGTTCTGGAAAATCGAATTTTAACTAATTTAAAGAAAAAAAATATGCATTCACAGGTTTCGTCTTCCACATAATCGAATTCTCAACTACTCGATTACTCGATTAGTTTTTCTATTACTTTATTACAATTCGTTCTTACAGATTATATTTTTAAATAATCGATTATAATCAATTACTTTTTCAAATATACATTAAATAATATATAAATATATATATATATATATAATTTATTTTCATTTCCAAAATATAATTTATTTCAAGTTGATAATATATATATATATATATATATATATATGCATAAATATAATATTAATATATAATTATATTTAATATATATATATATATATATATATAATTTAAAGTTTTTAATTTAAGTAATATATATAATTATAATTTATATGATATATATATAATTTATATAATATATATAATTTATTTAACATTAAATATAGTTATATTTTTATTAATTTTATAATTATAATTTTTTTAAAGTTATAATTCTAAATATGATTTTTTTAATTTTTTAATTATAATTTTTATAATATATAATTTATAAATAATTATTTTTTAATTTTAATTTAATAAATATTTTTATTTATAATTTTTTAATATATATTTGAGAAATTAATCAATTATAATCAATTATTTGAAAAAATAATCGATTCTAATCAATTATTTGAAAAATTAATCGATTATAATTAATTATATAAAAAAATAATTGATTATTTGAAAAAATAATCGATTATAATTAATTATTTGAAAATATAATCGATTATTTAAAAATTTAATAAATCATAATAGAGTAATTAAAAAATAATTTGATTTAGAATTATCGATTCTAAATAGTTTTTTATAAGAAACAAAAACTAGTATATATATATATATATTAATATCTTATTTAAAATTTATAATTTTAAAAAGATTTATATATTTCTAAAATTAATAATATATTTAAATTTATTGTTGAAGGTAGTAAAATAATATTTTTAAAATATATTATTAAATATTATATTTATATTATTTGTATGGTTAATTTTTTATTAATTTTTTTATTTATTTGATATTGTAATATATTTTTAAGAAATTAATAATAAATTAGGAGGATAATAAAAATCTTAAAAATTATATGTGTATAAGATGAAATAATATTTTGATGTAAAATTATATTTTTGAAATGTATTTTTTTTGTTATGATTTATAATATTTTAAATGATATATATATATATATATATAATTATTTTAAAATATAATTTATTTTTAAGTTGATAATTATTATTTTAATTTATACTATATATATATATATAATAATTAATTTGAAATTTATATATGTAATTTTAATTTATGTTATATATATATATATATATATATATATATATATATATAATTTATTTAACATAAAAAATAGTTATTTTTCTTATTAATTTTATAATTATAATTTTTTTAAAAGTTATAATTCTAAATAGAATTTGTTTAACTCTATAATTATAATTTATATAATATATATTATTTATAAATAATTGTTTTTAATTTTAACTTGATATATATTTTTATTTATAAGTATTTAATGTATATTTCAAAAATTAATAGATTATAATCGATTATTTAAAAAATAATCAATTATAATCTATTATTTGACAAATTAATAGATTATACTCAATTTTTTAAAAAATTATCGATTATTTGAAAAATTAATCGATCATAATTTAGTAATAGAAAATTAATTAATTAATTTTTTAAAATAATTTTTCAAATTTATATTAAGTAATATATATATATATATATATATATATATAATATTATAATGTTTTATATAAAATTTATAGTTTTAAATATAGTTTTAAAAAGATTTATGTATTTATTAGATTAATAATATATTTAGATTTATGGTTGAAAGTAGTAAAATATAATTTTTATTTGTATGATTAAATTTATTTTTAATTTATTTGATATTGTAATATATTTTTTTAGAAATTAATAATAAATTAGGAAAAAAATGTATATAAAAAGAAATAATATTTTTATATAAAATTAAAATAAATTATATTTTAGAATATATATATATATATATATATATATATATATATATATATTAGTTAATTTTCTTTCTTATCAAAATAAACTTGAAAAGATATATATTCAATCGATTATGAACAAATCGAATTCTAAATCGATTAATTTTTTTAATTATTTTATTATCATCAATTAAATTTTTAAATAATTAATTATATTTTTAAATAATTAATTATAATCGATTACTTTTTCAAATAATAGATTATAATTGATAATTTTTTAAAATAATTAATTATAATCGATTAATTTTTCAAATAATTGATTAGAATTGATTAGTTTTTAAAATAATAGATTATAATTGATTAATTTTTCAAATATATATTAAAAAATTATAAATAAAAATATATATTAAATTAAAATTAAAAAATAATTATTTATAAATTATATATTATAAAAATTATAATTATAAAATTAAAAAAATCATATTTAGAATTATAACTTTAAAAAAAATTATAATTATAAAATTAATTAAAATATAATTATTTTTAATGTTAAATAAATTATATATATTATATAAATTATAATTATATATATATATATTACTTAAATTAAAAACTTTAAATTAACTAATTATATATACATATATATATATATATATTGCATAAATTAGAATAATAATTATAAACTTGAAAATAATTTATATTTAATATATATATATATATATATATATTATGTTATATTATAAAAATGAAAATAATTTATATTTTAGAATATATATTTTATATTATAAAAATTAAAATAAATTATATTTTAGAATATATATATATATATATATATATAAATGAAAATAAGTTATATTTTGAAATATATATTTTATATTATAGAAATTAATATAAATTATATTAAATTAATATAAATTATATTAAATTAATATAAATTATATTAAATTAATATAAATTATATTAAATTAATATAAATTATATTAAATTAATATAAATTATATTTTAGAATATATATATATATATAATTTTACATCAAAATATTATTTCTTTTTATATACATATAATTTTTAAGATTTTTATTATCCTCCTAATTTATTATTAATTTCTAAAAAATATTATAATATCAAATAAATCAAAAAATTAAAAAAATTTAATCATACAAATAAATTTAAATATAATATTTAATAATTTAATTTTAAAAATATTATTTTACTACTTTCAACCATAAATCTAAATATATGATTAATTTTAGAAATATATAAATCTTTTTAAATATATAATTTAAAACTATAAATTTTAAATAAAATATTATAATATTATATATATATATATATATATATATATATTAATTAGTTAGATTTTCTTTCTTAAGAAAAAAAAACTATCCGATATTAGAAAATCAAATTTTAAATAATTTAAAAAAATAAAATATACAATCACTTTTATTTATATATATATATATATATATATATATATATATATATTATAGTTAATTTTTCTTTTTTAATAAATAAAATAAAATTATTCAAAATTCAGTGGTTGGAAAAATTGAATTTTAAATAATTTGAAAAAAAAAAATACAGTCAGGTTCAAATTTCATATACTAGAAATATCGAATTTTCAACTTAAAAAAAGTTATTGGATACGTAAATAAAACCTACTATTTCAATAATTAAAAAAACAAAAATATTAAATGATTTTCAAAAATTTTCAGCATGTACTCCCTCATGGAAACAAAATTCATGTTCCATTACTAAGACTCTTTTCAATTTTTTTCCTTACACTAATGATTTATTTTTATCAAAATAAATTAATTGTCTCTTTCTTTCTCTCAATGAAAGATGAAAAATAGAAGAGTTTAGTTTTAAAATTTTAAAAAAATTTAAAATCACAGATCAAATTCACAAAAATTAAAATTTCTTCCCCTCCATGCAACCCAGCCCTAAACGGAACTAAGACCATTCGACGATTTCTCCGATCTTGGACGGCGATCCGAACGATTTCACATGGTTCCGAATTTTCCTGAGATCTAGCACGGTGCTTTGGCGTAGAATCGGACGATTCCGTGATGTTAATCGCGATTTTGCCTACCTTGAGATAGAGTATAGTGGGAGAATGGCGAAATCTGGATCAACCTCTGTCTCTGTCTCTGCAAAGGTTCACCCTTCCGTGGATCCTGATCAGAGACGTCATCCCGTAGGATCAAGATAGATTTTACAATCACAACCACACTCAGTCAAAGTCACTGGTAAATCAATTAATCTTTTTTCTGTCTCACGCAACCCCCGTAGTTCTCTCTTTTTCTTCCTCAACCACTAAACCCAATGCCCCAATTTGTAAATTTTCGATTTTTGTCACGCTTCCACCCACCCAAAACCCTTCCTTTCTCCACCCACGGAATGGGCATGGGCATGGGAATGGCCGATATCCTCTGTACCCATCTCCACCAGAACAATGGCAGTGTTGAGAATTCATTGTCTAAGGTCAAAGCTAAACTCGACACTCAATGTGTCATCCAAGTCCTCAACTCCTGTCATCCCAAGCAACCTCTGTTGGGTGTCAGATTTTTCGTTTGGGCAGGATTTCAATCTGGCTATAGGCACAGTGCTTACATGTACAACAAAACTTGCAAATTGCTGGGGATTCAGCACAGTCCCCAAATTATTCGGGATGTAGTTCAGTCTTATGAGGCTGAAGGGTGTTTAGTCACTGTCAACATGTTCAGAGAGGTGTTGAAGTTGTGCAAAGAAGCTCAGCTAGCTGACGTGGCATTGTGGGTGTTGAAGAAGATGGAGCAGAGTTTCAACCTTCATGCTGACACTGTGATGTACAATGTGGTTATAAGGCTGTGTTGCAAGAAAGGTGACATTGAAACGGCTGAGAAGTTGACCAGGGAGATGAGTTTGGATGGTCTTTATCCTGATCTTATTACGTACATGGCAATAGTCGAGGGATTCTGTAATGCGGGTCGATCTGAGGATGCTTACTCTGTGCTTAAGGTTATGAGAGTACATGGATGTTCCCCCAATTTGGTCATTGTATCAGCCATTTTAGACGGCTTGTGTAGGTCTGGATCTATGGAAATGGCATTGGAGTTGTTGGAGGAAATGGAGAAAGGTGGGGATTGTAGTCCAAATGTTGTTACTTATACATCTGTGATCCAAAGTTTCTGTAAGAGAGGTCAATGGGCGGAAGCATTGGATATTCTGGATAGAATGAAAGCTTTAGGGTGTCAGGCAAATCATGTTACTGTTTTTACTTTGGTTGAAAGCCTTTGTGTTGAGGGTCGTGTGGAAGAAGCTTACAAGTTGATTGATAAGTTTGTGGTTGAGCATGGTGTTTCTTATGTCAATTGTTGCAGTGCACTCGTGATTTCTTTGATAAGGATTAAAAGGCTGGAAGAAGCAGAGAAGCTCTTCAAGGAAATACTTTCTGGTGATGTCAGACCAGATACTTTGGCATCTAGCCTTTTGCTAAAGGAGCTTTGTATGAAGGACCGTGTATTGGATGGATTCTACTTGCTTGAAGCCATCGAGAATAAGGGATGTTTGTCTTCCATTGACTCTGATATTTATTCTATTCTTTTAATTGGGCTTTGTCAAAGGAGCCACCTGACGGAGGCCACAAAGTTGGCTAAGATAATGCTTAAGAAATCAGTTCCGCTACAACCTCCGTACAAAGATGGTGCAATCGATATCCTTTTAAAATCTGGGGAAAAAGATCTTGTGAACCTGATGAAGGGCATACAGAAGGGAGTTTGATGATAAAATATTTTATGAAACAGTCAAGTTCATTGTTTATCTGCTGCATCTGGTCATAAGTTTGCATTGTATAACAACAACAGTAAGGATGAGTTTCTGCAATGTAGTCTGCTGATACTTTGTTCATTTATTCCCTTAGTAGGAAACAGTGTATCCTTGAGAAACATTATGCTTGTCTCTATCTATTTTGATAAACCCATTCTCTTTACATATTCTTTTTAATGTTGATAAGTTGTTGAACCTATTTTCCTTATACAAATTAATGTAAACTTCTTTTCTTGAGAGTTGTACAAAAATATATTATGATATTGTAAAGAATTTGTGAAAACTCAGTTTTAGTTAGCAAAATGGTTTTGATTTACAATTTTCTTAAATCTTTAATTTTGTTGAAGTGAAAGATGCACCGAAAAAGCATTTTGTGTATTATTTTTATAAAGATCAGTTGGCTGATCTTTTAATTATAACACAAGACCCAAAATTATCTAATTTCATTATTTAGAACTATTACTATTTGAAGTCACATATGCTCTCTTACTCCCTAAGGTGTGGAAATCATTTGTTTTTCATTAGGCTCAAAGGTTCTAAAACAAAAATTTTCTGTTTGCCTCTGTTGGGTAACAAAGGATAATTCATGTTGGGTTGACATTTAAAATAAACAATGTCTTGATCCTTTCCTCACAAAATATGTAATCATGAAACTAAAGAGATTGAAGGAAAATCATTTTTATGGAAAACAATGCAAGTAATCAGAATTTTGAATTTCAAATTACTCAACTCACCTTGTTAGATTTGAGTTATCTTCCGACAAGCACTTGTTGAATGTCATTAGTTTGATAGGAATATTATATCAAGAATCTTTAAGATGGATAATTATGATGCATATCAATTGCACCATTAAGAGCATTCACCCTATAACATCTTTTCTCAACAATTGTGAGTTATGATATTTGAATTTTTGAAAGTGATTTCTTCATCTTGAACTCTAATCTTAAGTTGACTAGTATTAACGTCAATGATGGGTTGCACTATCTTTGTAAATGACTTATCTAAGATTATGGGGACTTCATAAGGCATTTTTACTGTCGATTACAAAAATGGAAAAATAAATTTGTCCACCTTGACCAAGACATCATCAATAACACCATGGTGGTACTTCTTAAAGTGATGAACAAATTGTAAGACCTTGCAAGTATGCTTTACTTTTACATCTCCAGTATATGCCAACATAGACATCAAATTGATGCTTGCTTCCAAGTTTAACAAAGCCTATTCAATATTAAGTTTGTCAATGGTGCAAGGGAGAGTGAAGCTTCCTTCATTTGTCAATGGTGCAAGCAAAAAGCCATGATTAAGCAAAGGTCATTCTTCATATCTTTTCTCCAAATTGTGCTTTCTTAAGCGAGAAAATCCACGCTTTAAGCATATAGTGCTTCTTAATAAAATTTTCTTTCTTGTCCTAGTTTTAGTTGTTTTTATCTTACACTTTTTACTAACTATCAAAAGTGCTCGACTAATTAACAAAGATAAAAACTATAACATAATTTTTTAAACAATAAAAGTTAAGCTTTAGAATATATGTTAAATAATCATTGTTAAAAGCAATGAGAGAGAGGAAGGTCTGGTGCAGGGACCTTTTGGTGCCAGTTTGGTTGCCACCAAACGTTTGAAAAAAATAACAAATAAAACTTCAAAAGGAATAAAGAAAGTGTTTACAATTGTTGTTTACCAGGTATAGTTTTAAAAGCAAGAGAACAAGATGCACATTTTAAAATTACCAAATCAAGAACAGTTTTTTGTCTTCAATTTATTCCTGCTCATGACCAGTGGCATATTGTAATTAAGAAGTTCAATCAACGGTAGTTTGGTAGATTGCCATAGCAATTTGCCTTCATTCTCCTTGTCTTGGCTTGATCACTTGGATGAGAATGAGCTTGGCAGATACACTGTAGTCCTTGCCTCCAATTCTTCTATTTCTTTTGAAGGTCTGTTCATTCATCAATATCTTAAAGTCTATGTCTACCACACCACCATCGAATCATTTCTGCATTCAATGGCTTTGCATACTGCTTAATCGTATGATAATGGCCTGGTAAAAGCCTGTTTCTGTATGGACCAATTTGACAGAAATTCTAGTTCCTGTATTTTTTAACTTAATGCAATAATTACTACCTAGTGGTCAGAGAACAGTGAGGTCTGCAAGCAGTATATCTTATTGGTTGATGGGACAGGCACCTGGTTGGTTGTTGGTGATTGAAAAAAATGATAATGGTCACAAACCTTTTTATCCAAACATTTTTTGTTGCTTTAAAACTTGTTTTTAAAGTAATTCATCCTAATATATTTTTAAGAAATCTTAATTTTCAGCATTTTGAAGTAATTTTTATGAATAGTTTTCAATTAGTAAAACACAAAAAACGGAACCAAGCAGACCATTGGCTTTCTTGACTATGTTTGTTCCTTCATTCAGTTCATAGCATGATTCCTTTAGATTCCATTAGGGTGTTTTCATCTAAATCCATTTCTTATCCTTTTTCACTTTCCTACAAGTAAGAGAAATTTTAAATTTTGATTCGATTATGAATTTCATTAGAGATAAAATAGGGAAAGCACTACTATAGGGTTATGATATATGTTCCAAAAAGCAAAAAGGAAAGGGGAAAATAATCGATAATGCAGCAACTCAGTAGAGCTATTTGAGGGTTTCATTTCAATAATTTGTTGCCTTTTTGCAATATCCACATGATTATATAGTTTCTTTATATTCATATTTGGATTTAATACATACAGTTAAGCTCTGTTGTCTTGTCTTTATTTTGTTGTCCTGTCAATTAGCTTAACTAATCACAACAATTGTAATTTTGAAACTGATTTGAGATTTAAAAAAAAATGACAGATTCGCCTATCAATCTTTGGAAGGGACTTCAGTGTGTCCTTGATTTCTAGACGATCAAGACATTTTGCAGGGACACGGTAAGCTCTTATTTTGATATTTGATTCATGTTTCACTTGTTTTACAATTGATTAGACGTCATGAATCATTGTGAAAATTTAAATTAGATAAGTCTTCCTCTATGATTTTCTAATTATATTTTAATTTCATCCTTAGATTTGACATGTTAAATTTGTTGCCATGTATGATTTTCTTTTCAAATGTCTAATTTCGTAAAATTACTCTTCTCTCTCTGTAATTTAAGATTAATGGAACTATCTAGTACATTGAAAAATTTTCTGAGCAGTACAATGATAGGAACTTGGGTATTATAGGATGTTTAAGTCTCACATTGAGTACTATGGGATGCTTGGGAGAGTGTGGAAGTGTTTAGTTCTTCCTTCTAAATAGCTAGCTTTTGTGATCAATGATTCTTTGCTCTTGTTTTCCATCGCGTGTCTCTCTCTCTCATTTAAATGTTCCTATATGTTCTGCATAATTAGTTATTCTGAAATATCCCTTGTTTGAGACTGCATTTATCGCATGCCAAGTCTGTCATTGCCTTTGAAGCTTGAACTCCAAATGGTTTATCTTTCTCCTTCTCATTCCACACTGATTATACACATTATACAATTGTTTTCTTTTCTTCTTTTTTGATTTGTCTTGTATTCCTTTCCATCCTAACTCCAAGCATTGAAGGAACATTCTTATATCTTTTTATCCTGAAGTTATGTTGATTAGGTCCAGAAATGAAATGAGTTGATTAGGAACAATCTTATACCTCTTTTGATTAGGTCTATTCTGTAGGATAGTTGATTTTAGTTTTACACTGGTTCCTGAACCAAACTTTTTGCTTTTGTGGCATATCATTTAGAGATGAGAGACCATTGTACACAGTTGGTGGAACATTTGCTGATGCTTGTTCTCTTCATTTTTAAGAGATTTGTGCTGGTTGAATTGGAATAAATAGCAAGTATTAAGCACATCAATATTCCTTAATATCATGAATTATCTGTATTTTGAAATACATTGTGTCTATTTGGCCATACTTGTAATGGTTAGATTAATTTTCTGCGTAATGAATTGTTTCTGTAGTTACTTGAAAAGGGGTGTGAATGATCGGGGTAGAGTTGCTAATGATGTTGAGACAGAGCAGATTGTCCTTGATGAAGAAGCTGGATCTTGCAAGGGAAAAATGAGTTCAGTTGTGCAAATGCGTGGATCAATACCACTTTTTTGGTCACAAGAAGCATCAAGATTTAGCCCTAAGCCTGACATAATTTGTATGAAAATAGTTGAGATTAATATATATGCTGTTCATTATTCAATTTTATGCTGTTATAAACTATAATACAGCAAGCTCTCTTTTCATGTTCTTTTTTCCCCTTTTTACTTCCAGTGCAGAGATATGATCCGACATACCAGGCAACAAAATTGCATTTTGAAGACCTTGCTAAGAGATATGGCAATCCAATTATTGTTCTTAATTTGATTAATGTAATTTCTCAAATAAAAATAGTTAGTTCTGAAGGGGTTAATACATCCCTATTTACATGTTAATTGATTCCTTTTTTTCTTTTAGCAAGGGACCTCACTTCTGTTTCCATCCTGGCTCTTGGAGAGAAACTGATTTGTATCCATGTCCCATGCTTCTACCAAATGACTTTCCATTGGAAATTCAAATTTCAATCTAATAATAAATGTGAATTGCAAAGGACCATAGATGTAAAAGCAGCTAACACACTGTCAACAGTGCCAAGCATGCTAGGATTTTTCTCCTTATAGTCTTTAGCCTTGAATCCCCTACAGAATATAATTTTATGATATACAATATAGCATTAATGAATTGCTTCTTTTGTAAAAAAGAAAATAATTTATGCATTTTTGTAGCTCATTCAAAATATAAAATGCAGACAGTTGAGAAAAGGCCTCGGGAAATGATGCTGAGGCGTGAATTTGCAAATGCTGTTAGGTATCTGAACCAAATTCTACCGGTAGATAACCATCTTAGATTTATTCACTGGGACTTTGACAAGTTTGCAAAGACGTAAGCCTGCTATGGTTTATCTTTTAGTCTCAAGTAGCAATCAAACTTATATATCTGACTATTCTCTATTCTTCTCTATCATTTTCAAAGCAAGTCTGCCAATGTTTTGGCAGTTTTAGGAGGTGTACCAAGTGAAGCTCTTGATTTAACTGGTTTTTACTACAGCGGTAAACCCAGTATAATAAAGAGGGCCAACAAGAGCAATCGATCAAGCACAAGGAGGTATGGTCTATCATTGAAATTGTTACTTGACATACAGTAGAGTCTTTTTCTTGTTTTTTCATATATTTTTTTTGAATTATAACTCTTAACATGAAATTACATTTTTAGTAACCAGTGTTTGTCTAACCAAGCACTTTTGTTTGTCAAAAATAGCAAAGATATGAAAATGTTGGGTCCTGTTACCATTTTCCCCTCATGTGTTCTACTATGAGGTTTGACCACCTGATGCTATGGAGTCCTCACAGTTAACATATGCCTTTTCCACAATTAAGGGATGTAGAAGTTGAAGTCTCGATTAAAATCATGAAATAATTCTATAAATTCATATTGTTGCTTTTCTTTTTGATATTACACATAGTTTTCCCAAGTTATCTATTTTTGGACTTTGAACCGGAGATTTCTTTGGGTTTTTGTTTGTTTCTTTTAAGTTTTGGATGATTGAGGGCAAGCTGACTTAATCTGTAATGAACAATGATGATTGCTGACAACAATGGAAATTAGGTCTTTGTATCAATGCCTACCAAGAAATAATAGCATTATACCACCAGGCAAATATCTCTGTTATCTTTCTTCTAAAAAGGCCTTTTTAAGCCTAGTCTCCGTTGAATAAACACATTGTGTTGTTATCATATATTTAATCTTAAATGCATAAATAATCCAATGAATATTTTATTTTGATGGTGGTAAGGTAACAACACTTGTGGTGGCAACAACATCTGAAAAGGCTGTGAAAAAATTGGGAAATGTTGAAGTGATGTAATATAAAATCATTTGTGTCTTCACCTAACTTAAAATTTTTGGGCTTGGTCAATAGATTCATTGTGGTCTAGTATTCTAGAATTTTATCCATGTCATCCTTGTTCTTCAATTCAAATAAAAAGAAGTTGAATTTCAAGACATGGTAGTTGGTCCTGTGCATTCGAGCCCAAAAAGCTTTTTGCTTGAGGGTTGTGTTAGAGATGTGATGCAAAGTTAGTTTTGTGGCTTCACCTAACAATTTAAAGTTAAGCTTTTAAGATGATTCATACAAATCAAACAGAAGTTAATTCATTAAAAAGGGTTAGAGGAAGACATGGAAATGTCAAATACTGCATTGAAAAAGACCTTGCTATGATTCGTTTATTATTATTTATTATTTTTACAATAATGAAGACATCAATTTCAATCCATATAGCTTGGAAGCTGATCACACCTAGTTGGATAAGTTGGGATTGTTTAGAAGGAAATATTTCTGGTGATTTTTAATTTTACTGAATGTGATAGGGGGGTGCACTTTGGACGGTCTAACATACTAGGGCTATCCTACAGAGGGTAAACGTAAAAGAGAAAGTAAAGGGCAAAATGATTTTCATTCTTTCGTTCCTTACATTAGGAGTCATACAGCATATATAGGGCATCCACCTTGTGTGGCTCTGGACTGGGCTCTTTTTAGGGAAAAACAAATGAAAAGAGAATGTAAGAATGCACAGCCCAAGCCTATTACTAAGTGTAGTAATTTTTGGTTGGCTTTGTCAATGCTGATGCCCAACAAAATGATAGTGCAGTTTAATTTTATAATATTTATACAAGTGCAAAATGTTGATTTAGAGAATGAAAGTTTTATTTATTTTTTCAACTAATTCTTTTATTTATAGGGATACTTCACTGAGAGATCTGAGAGCTGGTTCTGGAGATCTTGTGAGAATTGGGAACAGTATCGAAATGTTAAATTCTGGGGTTAATCGAGACAGAGAGACTGACATGAACCATCAGAATAAAAAAGATAATTTTAGTAGTGATGCACCGTATTTTCAGAGTGGAGTTCTCCGAACCAACTGCATTGACTGCTTGGACCGTACAAATGTTGCACATGGGGACGCTCTCGCTCAACAGTATGGTGGTTCTGCAGCTCACAATATTGTATGACATATTTTAGGGGATTCTAAATTTATGTAATCTGCCGGTTTGCATCTTCTGCTGTTTTGTCTGATATTTGTATATATATTTTGAGAACGACAGGTGTTTCCGGAGAGGCAGGGAAAGTGGAAGGCAACAACACAATCAAGAGAGTTTTTGAAGTCCATAAAACGATACTACAGCAATGCTTACACAGATGGTGAAAAACAAGATGCAATAAACTTGTATTATTCCTCAGTCCCTTGATTAATCCAGTCTTGAATAAATAATTAATATTTTAAATATTTAAGACATTGTTCTATTGCCATATTTTTAGGTTATTTCCAACCACAGGAAGGGACACCTGCTCTCTGGGAGCTGGATTCAGATTATTATCTCCATGTATCTGGGGTTGAGGATGATCTAATTCCTGAGAAGTGGTGAGTCCTCCTTGTTAGAATGTCTGGTATTGAAATTTTTACTGACATGCTTCTGTGTTACATTCAGCAATGATTTTAACTTTTCTTTTGTATGTAAATACATTTTCTATTGTTTATTTTTCCCTGTCAATCCTAAATTTCTTCTTGAATTTTTCAGTTCTGAACCAAATCCCAAGCCTCCTGGAGGAGGTGGAATGGTGTTCAACCCGATACCAGCCTGCAGAGAAGACTTCTTACGCATAAAGTTGACATCATTTGACAAGTTAATTGAAAAGACCTGTAGTACAATTAAAAATGTAAGACTATGCTCTGAACCTGATCGGAGACCAGGTGGGAGCTCTGGAAACAGTGGAGTGGCACCTGATGCAGCGTAATTTCTTTTATTTTGAGTTGCTGTTTAATATTTTTACCTCTCAATTTATTGTTCTTTCTATAGACGGATGCCTTTTTGTAATGATTTTCTGGTGTGTGTATGTAAATGCTAGAAACTTTCTTGCCATTTGATTTAAAATCAAATCATGTTGCTTTGCTTCTTATTAATTTACGACAATAATAGCTGATATTTTCTCTTCAGTCTTGCTTCTAAGTTCCTGTTTCTTAGTTTCATTGTTTCTGTGATTATTTAAAAAATATTTGGTTCAAGTGCCATATGTCCTGTGGTTTTACCTTCTACCCCTTCATCTTAATTTCTGTCGATTCTCAGAAACCTAATTGTGCACTAGATGGTTTTCTTTATTTACGCCTATGCCTATTACATTTTGGAATTATGAACAATTGACAGCATGTTTAGTTCAGATTCTAACTAACACGATCTACAAAAAGTTGGATTCTTAATGTACTTTTCACACTTTCTTGTAGCATTTATAGTTTATAATTATTTTGGACCAACAATTAAGAATTGTTTTCCCCATTTGCTACATGAAAACTAAATCACAAGCTTTTAATAAAAACCGAAGAGTTCTAATAAGATTTGTAATATGAATATCCTTATGGGAACGACATGGATGGGGTGAAAAAAGAGAAGAGAGGGATGGGGTATTTCTTCTTAAAACGTATGGATTTGAACCCATAAGCAGAACTACCACCCCATAGTATGTTGCCACCAAAAGCAAAACTCCGTATTTCTTCTAGAGAATCTCCTAATTGTTCCAGAGTAAGTAGAAAGAGATTCTAACATTCCAACCCTTGGAACATATTACAGTCCCAGGTGGCGAAGGGCAGAGGTGCCAAACCTTTCCATCGATGTAAGCTCTTGGGGAAGATCAACCTGTTATCCCTAGAGTAATTTTTATTTGTTGAGTGACGCCCTTCCACTCGGCACCGGATGAGAGGATTTGAATCTGTGACATTTTGTATCCTAAATAAACGCGCTACCAAGCTGCACTACATCTCTTTTCCATTTGTTTCTAGTGTTATGGTAAAGAATCTTTGTCTTGTTTTCCACCGTTTTCTCGGTTGATATATATCATATCAACCGAAAAAAAAAAAAAAAACTTGAAAATTAAAAAGGAGAAATTGAAATGCGAGATCTAAAAACATATCTTTCCGTGAGCATCGAATAGAAGCAAGCCATTAATCTATTTGTTAATTCAGCACATTGATTCGAAGAAGAGAATCTCTCTTATCTGTAAGATAAGAACCTTCATGAGATTCTCATTTGGATGGGAAATAGTGGGCAGAATGTCTGACTAGTGTGAAATGTAAAAGCTATTATATGATCTAGGTAACTTGAGGTAATTTGTGGACTCACTAATTGTCTGATGATCCCCAGTGAAATACAGCTCAAAAGCCCAAATTGGCTTTTCGGCCAGAGAAAGTATGGAGGATTCCTCTGCTGCAAAAGTAGCTTCTCATGAAACTGACGATGAAGGATCTCATGCTATTGGATTTTGTGACTTGAATTGGCTTTCCTCTGGCAGTGATATGAATGAAGAGGATGTTTTCCGAAGGTATGTATCTAAAATGTTCATTATCCTCGTGTGACTTTGATGCAGCTTCCATTTTTCCTTTGATTTTCAATATCCCATTTGGTTATTTTTCTATTGGCCAAACATTTGCACTGTAGGTCACCCCAAACCCATTTGAATGTTTAATTGTTCATTGTGACATTTTAGCTCTAGACAGACCTGAGCTATGTTGATTAGAAGAACAAGCTTGGGGTGCATCTGAATTTGAGCCGTTAAGTTGAGCTAGTGTTGTTAATATATTAAGTGTTCACATATAATTCTGTTTGTTTATTTTCTGCAATTATGCAATAAATCCATGCTACTGTTGGTTCAAATTATGATTGATGAAAGTATTTCTTTTAAAAGTTTATCAAGTGTTTCTCTACAATCTACTGTATTCAAATCTACCAGAAATCACCACTAACTTTTCTTCATTGGTTGAGAATCCAGTGTTGTCCCTTCGGGAGCATATTAACACTGTAGACAGTCCCACAGTCTTTGATCTCATTTGATGTCTTTAGTTTGTTCAGTTTACTGATCATTCTCTTTTTATATTCTTAATCTTGTAGGTACCTTATAATGACCTCGGCAAATGAGGCCAATGGTTTGTATGGAGGTAGCCTCCTTGGTGATGAAGACGAAAGCAGTGAGATACATAAACATTATGCCGAGTTATGTCAGGTATGAACTTTAACATGAGTCTTAATCATACTAGTACTTTGTATCGAGACTTGGTATGAAACACTAATCATTGCTTGCTTTAAACTGCGGGTTGAAATATTAGAGAGGACAAAATAGACTACATCGACGAGACGGAATGGAATGGAATGAGTTGGCTTGTTGACCTGCATTAAAATAATTTATATATTAAAATTAACATAAAAATGATTATAATTTAAAATATTATATTTTTTATTGTCATGTTATTAAAATATATAAATATATTATAATATTATAATTTAAATTATAAATATTAATCAGTTAAATTTAAATTATTAATAATAATTAGGTATTTTAATATATAATTATAGTAATTTTAATGTATTTAATAAAAATATTAATTAATAAATAAAAATTTAAAAATTATTCGTATAATTAAATATGTATTTTCAAAAAATACGTTCTATTAGTATATCAATTCACCCTTAAGGTGGGATGAGGTTTTTAATCTACTATTGCAGGTTAGTTCGTCGCGTCTTGTTTTTTTTGGGTTAGACAGGCGAGATGTATTCATCGGAGATGGATTGATCCTTTTATCATTGCTATACAATAGGACACAAACCTCTCTAAGTATGAAATTTTATAGAGAACTTGAAAAAACAAGCCTTGAAATTGTGGAAACTTTAAAAGAGAGAAATATCTCTGGGAAGAGAGACTACACTGCCCAGTGGCAACCGTCACCCAGAACAAGAAAATATGATGCACTCCCTTCAGCACCCCGTCTCACCCCCTTCATACTAGCCCGCTCGGTCTAATATAGCAGCTGTCTTTCAGCTTGTAGGTAGGAAGCATGGTGCAGTGCAGGTGCCCTGTACAACATACAGGCGCGCGCACGCACAAGGTTTTCGAAGAATTCCCGTTTTAGGTAATAATAGTATTGAAAAAAACCGCACTAGGTCTGACTCACATGATAGAAATATATAAAGAAACAAACAAATAAATATGAAATGAGCGGATAAATAACATCTGTACTAGGAAGCGTTGAGTTATTCTTGTGAATGCATGTTTGCTTCCAAAATGTAGTTTTTACCCTATTCATCCTTGACATGCATGCAGGCACCGGGCTTGGAACTTTTCCAAAATGACTGTGAGAGGGAGCTACACTACGCAGATGGTTTAAGCACGAGTTCGTATGAAATTGTGAATGATTCTGCCGTTGAGGCAGAAATGAAAGCAGCTCTAAAGGAGTATGACCAAGTTGGTGCTGACCTTGGGATCATTCCCAGATCTTGTAAATTCTTTGCTGATGATCCGAGCTGGCTTACAAGGTGGTTAACTGGGGAAGAAGTACAAAGGATATGATGGATTATTATTTTGACATGTATAATTTGAACAATTATTTCTGTATTATTTTAACTCGTATTTCTTAATGCAAAAGTCGATGTCAGTTTTCTCATCAATTGTCAGGCCTTATATCTTCTTTTTAACTAAAACACATCTTTCTTTCTTTTTTTCTATAGTTTGCCTTGGTTAGTTCAATACGCTATAACCTTTTTTTTGTACCATTTATTTACTGTTAGGGGAGTGATTAGTGCTAATTTAAACGGATTTTGGTGATTTAGTGTGGGTTAATATGAGCTTGCTGCTGATTTGGTCTTCCTCTAATGTACATCACTTTATTGCGCGTTCCATGACTATTTTCTGAAGCCATTTATTGAATCAGTTTTTTCTAAATTTTTTATTGAACCATTAGCACATGAATTAACTTCTCGCTAAGCACCTATTTTATTGAATTAACGTCAATATTCTGATATCATGAATTTTGCTATTATATTTGGTTTTACATCGTGTGTATCCGACAATAATAATAATTGGTTAGATTAATTTTCTGTCACAAACTGATTCTTGGGTGTGAAAGATCGGGGGAGGGTTCCTAATAATGTTGAGACATACAGATTCTTCTTCATGAAGAACCTGACTCTTGCAAGGGAAAAATGAGTCCAGTTGTGCAAATATGGATCATTACCACTTTTTTGGTCACAAAAAGCATCAAGATTTAGCCCTAAGTCTGACGTAATTTGTATGAAAATAGTTGAGATTAATATCTATCCTGTTCATTGTTCAATTTTATGCTGTTATAAACTATAATGCATCAACCTCTGTTTGGATGTTCTTTTTTCCAGTTTTGACTTCCAGTGCTGAGATACAATCCAACATACCAGGAAACAAAATTGCATTTTGAAGACTTGCTAAGCAATATGGCAATCCAATTATTGTTCTTAATTTGATTAAGGTAATTCCTCAAATAAAAATAGTTAGTGCTTATCTGAACCAAATTCTACCCGTAGAGAACAGCCTTATAATTGTTCACTGGGACTTTCACGAGTTTGCAAACAGCTAAGCCTACTATGCTTTATCTTTTAGTCTCAGAAGTTTCTTTATTATCCTTGTCTTGCAGTTCAAATTTATATCTTTTTCCAAAGTTTTGGCAGTTTTAGGAGCTGTAGCAAGTGAAGTGCTCGATTTAACTGGCTTTTAGGTTACTCTACATAAGACTCTATATGTAAGTTGATAGACATTATTATCATTAACTGTGGGATAAGAATTTGAAGATGTGGTGCAAAATGAATGTTTCACTGGTAATACTTATTTTAAAATTAAAATTTTGTTTGAATATTTTAATACACAACATATAATGTTGTATAAATGTGACCCTGAGAGAGCCCAGCTCAACAATTTGTGGATACCATTCATGCAATTTACTAAATGCAACATTAATGTCCCCATTCCTGATTAGCTTCATAGAAAAGAAAAGAGGTTATGGTTGTTAAATATTTAAAAAAAATAAATAAATATCCATGAGTACCCGTGGATATCCGCGGATATTAAAAAAATATATGATTACCTGTATAACATATACCCGCACGGATATTGGGACTGGAGCGGATATTTATCCAGCCGTACCTGCCCACCCCGTTGACATCCTAGTTGTGAGTGTTTTTAGTGGGATATGAGTCTTGTTTTATTCTTTTACTCAATCACTTTCCGTTATCTGTTTCTACTTATTTTACTCTACTTCTCCTACAATCCAGTTTTGTTTCTGGAGTATTTATTGTGAGAAAGTAACTAAGAACAATGATTGATGGCCAAGATAATGCAAAAAAACAGTTCTGCTACAACCTCCATACGAAGATGGTGCAATTGATATCCTCTTAAAATCTAGGGAAAAAGATTTTGTGAACCAGAAGAGCATACAAAAGGGAGTTTGATGATAAAATGCTTTATGAAACTGTCAGGTTCATCGTTTATCTGCTGCATCTTGTCATAAATTTGCATTGTATAAGTAAAATGGGTTTCTGCAATGTAATCTACTGATACTTTGTTCATTTATTCCTTCGTAAGAGACAGTATATCCTTGAGAAACAGTATGCGTGTCTCTGTCTATTTTGATTAGCCCATTCTCTTTACAGATTCTTTTTAATGTTGATAAATTGTTAGATCCCATTTTTCATTACACAAATTAATGTAAACTTTCTTGAGAGTTGTAAACAGAAATATTATGATATTGTAAAGAATTCGTGAAAACTCAGTTTTAGTTAGCAAAATTGTTTTGATTTACAGTTTTCTAACATCTTTAATCTTGTAGAAGTGAAAGATGCACTAAAAAAGCATTTTTGTGTATTATTTTTATAAATCTCAGTTGGCTGATCTTCTAATTATACTACAAGACCCAAAATTATCTAATTTCATCATTTAAGTTCCCAATATCAGGTAGGATAAAGCAATATTAAGAAGGAGCAATTTGGTAATATTTCTGATCCCAAAACAGTTGTTTTGGTGCAATGAAGCTGTCAATTCATATTGGAAAAGTGGGTTGTGAACTTGGACAGAAAGATGAGAAGGAGGATGAGGCTAGTAAATCCAGAATGGAAAGATTTTGTCTTCTTCTTAGGTTATTGTAGTGGGTAACTTATTATCGGTGACAATAGGTTTTATAAAATACGTAATAATGGGGTGGAGGTGGATGGATATGGTACACATGTTCGGTTGTTTGTGTTGTATTGTATCCATAAATAGATAGATAGATATTATTACGTTATCCATCAGTTGGGAATTGCATTGCCACCAGTGAGAGAGAAAAATGGAAATGGTGGTGGTGCAGTGCGTAAGTGTTTGCAGGAAGGGGTTGGCGCCTCCACCATCGTCGCCTCATCCAATGGTAGCCCAAAGACGAACCTCTGTGGTTGCTTTTGCTTCCAAATCACTTAACCCGGTGGCTCTCTTCTCTACCTGGCATAAACTGAAGTTGCCATTCATGAATCCAATTCTAACTCTCATCTCTCTCTCCTGCAGATACTGAAAAGCTGTAGAACTTGCGGAGGAAAGGGCGCCATCGAATGCCCAGGATGCAAGGTGTGTTTGTTTCTGGATTTCAATTATTAGTCGAAAAAGATAAACACATGGATTAAAAGGTAATTGGCGATGACAGGGCACGGGGAAGAATAAAAAGAACGGAAACATATTTGAACGATGGAAGTAAGTTGCCTTGTGTTTCTCATGTATACGTGTATGAGTGAGTTTGTGTGTAGAGATTCTCAATCAATCAATCTTCCAAGTATGCGTGTAGATGTTTTGATTGCCAAGGATTTGGACTCAAGACTTGTCCCACCTGCGGAAAGGGGAGAGGATTAACACCGGAACAAAGAGGAGAGAGATAGCATCAACTCAAGACACTGGTCTATTTGACTATTTATTAATTTATTATTTTCATTTTCTTATCTATTTCCTTTAACGTGCTTAACACATAATTTAAATTTGTTAAACTTTAATCATATTTATTATCAATATCTTACAGTAGTTGTTAGTTTGTTGGGAAATAAGGTCGGATAAGATGGAATAATAATAATACACCAATGTGAGATCAATAAAAGACACGAATATTTGTTAACCCAGTTCGGATTAAATCCTACATCTGGGGGCGAACCAAGCCAGGAGAATGAACTAGAATAAGAGGATAAGCCAAATGTTACAACTCACACAAGCTCGTATGAATACACTCTCTCTACTCTTTCTTCACACTTTGATTGGATACAAATGAGGTTACAAAATGAGGTATTTATAGCCAAACAAATCCTTCTTGAGAGGAAGTTGAGAGGAAGCTCCCTTCCTTTGACTAGGAAGTTGCAAGGAAGCTCCCTTCCTTTGACCGGGAAGTTGCAAGGAAGTAGCCTTCCTTTGACCGGGAAGTTGCAAGGAAGTAGCCTTCCTTTGACCGGGAACTTACGAGGAAGTTCCCTATCTTTGACCGATCTTTACACCTCAACAATCTCCCACTTGAAGATTGGTCAACACTGTTCATCTCTGCTCTTGGTTCTGCTAAGTACTGCCTGTTTTAATCATCAAGGCCGGTCGAAGCTACACACGGCTTCAACTTTTCCAAAGTTACCGCCTTGGTCAACATGTCTGCAGGATTCCTATCTCCCAGAACCTTTTTCAGCTGCAAGCATCTTCTTCTCTAGAAGTTCTCGGATGAAATGATACTTAACCTCGATGTGCTTCGTTCGCGAGTGAAACGCGGGGTTCTTTGCCAGATGGATTGCACTCTGGCTATCGGCTGTATAGAGCCACATCCTCTTGAGGTCTCCCAAGTTCATTCAAGAAGTTTTGCAGCCAAACGAGCTCCTTGGCTGCCTCAGTCACTGCCACGTACTCGGCTTCCATTGTGGACAATGTGACTATCTTCTGCAGCTTTGAGATCCGGGATACGGCCGTCCCGCGGTAAGTGAATACGTACCCGGTAGTACTCCTCCTCTTGTCAAGATCACTTCCTGCAAAATCAACATCGACATACCCGGACAGGGTAAGGGTACCCCTGCCAAATACTAATGCCCGGTCCTTAGTACCCCTCGGGTACCTAAGGATCCACTTTACCGCCTCCCAGTGCATCACTCCAGGATTGCTCATGAGCCAGAGCCGACTACTCCCACTTGCATGTGCTATGTCTGGCGGGTGCGGACCATAGCGTACATTAGGCTCCAGATAGCCGAAGCATACGGCGTAACTCTCATCTTTTCTTTTTCAGAGTCATCCTGGGGCGAATCCTTATTGGACAACTTGAGCTGGCTTCCCAATGGCACTCGAAGCCGACTTTGCAATATTCATATTAAATTCGCACAATACCTTCTCAATATAATCAAATTGAGAAAGCCAAAGTTTACCGAGCATTTCGTCCCTCGTGATTTTCATGCCCAGTATACTGTCTCGCTTCTCCTAGATCCTTCATATCAAATCTCCTTGATAGGCTGATCTTTGAGCCTCTCGATCTCCTTGACATCTGATCCTGCTATCGGCATGTCATCCACATATAGCAGTAAAATAATGAAAGAGTTACCGAACTTCTTCACATAGCAACAATGATCGGCATTACACCTGGAGTATCCTATCTCCAGCATGAAATTATCGAATTTTCGGTACCACTGTCGAGGAGCCTGTTTCAGTCCGTACAAGCTCTTCTTTAGGCGACGGACCCTGCGATCATTTCCTCTATATCCCTCTCGGTTGCACCATGTAAATTTCCTCCTCGAGATCCCCATGCGAAAGGCCGTCTTCACATCTAGCTGTTGCAACTCCAAGTTTTCCGCCGCTACGATGCTTAACACTAAACGTATAGTGGTTAACTTAACAACAGGTGTAAAAACATCGGTAAAGTCAATACCGTATCTCTGTTGGAATCCCTTTACTACAAGTCCGGCCTTGTACCGTTTTGTTCCATCCGATTCCTCCTTGACCAGATAGACCCATCTGTTTTGAAGAGCCTTCTTTCCTTGTGGGAGATCACACAAATCCCATGTGTGGTTCTTCTTCAACGAGTTCATCTCGTCTTCCATCGCAAGCTCCCACTTGCTCTTGTGGGCATCTTTAATCGCCTCTGCATAACAGTCGGGTTCCCCAGAATCAGATAAAAGTAGGTAATAAAGAGAAGGGGAGTACCTATCAGGGCCCTTCTCATCCTCGGTTCTCGACCCAGTGCCGGAGGCGTCGTTGCTCTCGGCAATCGGTTCATCTGATTCTGGTTCTGCCTCTTCTTTTGTACGCTCGATCTCATCTATCTGAGCTCCCACTGTATCTGCTGGTCTCATGATTCCGGTATTTGAAATATCGAGACCAACATACTCCTGCATGGTCTTGTCATCGTCCAGGTATTCCTTAGGTCCTTGTACATTTTGCCTTCATTGAACACCACATTACGATCTGCGAATAATTTTCCGATTTTGATCATCCCAAAATCTATACCCAAATTCGTCAGTCCCATATCCAATGAATGTACATTTGACGGACTTAGCATCCGAGCTTTGTCCGGTCGTCATTCAAAACGTAAGCCAAACAACCAAAGGTACGTAAGAAAGAGAGATCAACTTTCTTACCACTCCAGACCTCTTCTGGAATTTTGTTGTTCAGTGGGACAGAAGGCCCCCGGTTGATCAAGAAAGCGGCCGTGCTGACTGCTTCTGCCCAAAACATCTTGGGCAGTCCACTCTTCAATCGCATGCATCTCGCACGCTCATTCAGTGTTCTGTTCATCCTCTCCGCAATGCCATTTTGTTGAGGTGTCCCTGGGACCGTCTTCTGCATCCGGATCCCATGATCAGCGCAGTATTCTTTGATGGCTTCACTGTTGTACTCGCCACCGTTGTCGGATCTGAGACATTTCACTTCCAGACCTGTCTCTTTCTCCACGAGTGCTCTCCATCTCCTGAAAGTATCAAAGGCTTCGGATTTTCTTTTCAGAAAGTACACCCATACCTTTCTTGTGCAGTCATCGACGAACGTCATGTAGTACATCGATCCTCCAAGAGATGTCACCGGTGCTGGCCCCCATAAGTCAGTGTGCACTAGCTCCAGTTTTTCTGTCTTTGGAGCTCTTCCGGTGGTTATGAAGCTCACTCGCTTCTGCTTTCCAAGCACGCATTGCTCGCAGAGACCCACGTCCACTGACTCCAACTCGGGCAAAAGTCCTCTCGACTTTAGTACCTTCATTCCTTTTTCGCTCATGTGGCCCAAGCGACTGTGCCATAAGTGCGATTGTGAGACAACTCCTGCCAGGAGAATGTTTGAGCTCGGATCTACTCGTCGTGTAAAGCGTTCCCGACTTCAGCCCTCTTGCCAAAGTCATAGCTCCTCGGCTGACCTTCCACTTTCAGTCTCCAAACATTGTGTGGAAGCCGTCATTGTCCAGCTGTCCACCTGAGATGAGATTCCTCTTCAGTCCTGGAATGTGTCTCACATCACGTAGGGTCCAGCATGACCCATTTGCGGACTTGATCTCGCACATCTCCCTTCCCTACAATTTTTAGGGATTTGTTGTCTGCAAGATATACCAAGCCAAAATCACCTGCGGTGTATGGCTCCATGATGTCTCTCGCTACGCATGAGTGAAATGAGGCCCCTGAGTCCACGATCCAAGTCATCGAGCGAGCTTCTCACACTCAACAAGAGTGCATCCGCGCGTGTCCTCCGTCGCGGCATTGGTCGTCCGACCTTCTTTGTCTTTCCTTGGTGCCCGGCATTCGCTTTTCATATGCCCAGGCTTCTCGCAGTTCCAACACACCATCTCTTTCTTGCCTTTATTCCTTCCCCTGGATTTTGACCTCCCACGGATTTTCCCTCGTGTTTCGGGTCTCCTCTCGGACTCTGTATGTAGGGCTGAGCCGGACGACCCACCGCCTGATTTCTGCGGGTCTCCTCGTTCAACATCATATCTCTTATGTTGTCGAACTTCATCTTCTCCTTGCCGGAAGAAGTGCTCACCGAAGTAACGACCACGTCCCAACTGTCAGGCAATGATGAGAGCAAGATTAGGGCTTTTACCTCATCATCAAACGAAATATCCACCGATGCCAACTGCATAGTGAGTTGGTTGAAATCGTTGAGATGATCGGCCACTGACTTTCGCTCCTCCATTTGCAATTTGAACGGCTTTTTCATCGAGCATCACCTTGTTTATTGCTCGATGTTTTTTCATACATATCGGCGAGTATCTGCAAGACCTCCTTCGTGCTTTTTGCTCCCTTCACATGGTAGGCGACGTTCGAGAGAGCGAAAGAATTATAGCGCTCATCGCCTTCCGATCGAGCACCTTCCATTCATCATCGCTCATCTTCTCGGGTTTTTCCCCAAGAGGTGCGTAGAGGTCCTTCCCGTACAGGTAAGCCTCCATTTGCATTCGCCAGAATCCAAAGTCGGAACCATTGAACCGTTCGACTTGAATCTTTCCCTCCATCTTATTTCCAACCTCCTGGCTCTGATACCAGTTGTTGGGAAATAAGGTCGGATAAGATGGAATAATAATAATAATACACCAATGTGAGATCAATAAAAGACACGAATATTTGTTAACCCAGTTCGGATTAAATCCTACATCTGGGGGCGAACCAAGCCAGGAGAATGAACTAGAATAAGAGGATAAACCGAATGTTACAACTCACACAAGCCCGTATGAATACACTCTCTCTACTCTTTCTTCACACTTGGATTGGATACAAATGAGGTTACAAAATGAGGTATTTATAGCCAAACAAATCCTTCTTGAGAGGAAGTTGAGAGGAAGCTCCCTTCCTTTGACCAGGAAGTTGCAAGGAAGCTCCCTTCCTTTGACCAGGAAGTTGCAAGGAAGTAGCCTTCCTTTGACCAGGAAGTTGCAAGGAAGTAGCCTTCCTTT